ACTGCATTGTTATTGTACATGATAGAAGAATGCAAAGTAAAACACGAAGATCCAAATATAACTTGGACAGAATTATCTGCGTTCATGCTAACTAAGTTATCAGTGATATTGAAAAACTGTTTGGCTAAAAATGACTGTGTCCAAATCTTCCACAATATTTATATAAAATATATTAATAAGTAATTATTAAGTATATTATTATTTTTATTAATATTTAGTTTATTTTTATCACTGATTTATCAACTTATTACAATTTTTTTTAGTACGAACATTGCAGTATTTAAACAGATTTTAAGTCTCGTGTACACAAATGATCCAAACATCATAAGTAAATTACAATATTATGATATGGATAGTTTCTTGGATCCAATTATTATAAAAGGTATATATCAACCTCGGCTTACGATTAATTCAATAATGTTTAAATCACATTTTTTATTTATTATTTGACAGAAAGTGAAGGATGTGCTTTGGATTCAATTTCACACACTGTTGTATCATCAATTGTGTCTACTAAAATTAAAAGAGACAAAGAATTGAATAAAAAAATTTATGACTATGAAATACTAGCCAAGCGGTTATGTACAACTCATCCACTCTTATTTTTAAGGTAATTAATTATAATTGGTTTCAATTGGGCTTGAATCTGTATTTATTCATTTTTATTCTAGGGTATTTGAGCTATTATCAGCCCCATTACGTAGATGTTGTTACCTCGAGTTTAGAGCAATGAAATCTGGTCATCTATTATTACTTAATAATATTCTTGATTTATTAGAAAGTTTAGAGCCAACAGTGTATTTGCCATTTTACACAGACGCTCTTCATAAACTTTTGGGAATTTTCCTGACCATCATCAGTGTAATTGTTTTAATTAATTTTATGAAGTATATAACTTWACTATTCTGGATTTAAATCAATTGAAATTTTTTATTTTAGAATAATTTAAATGTGAGCGCTGCAAGAAAAGAATTTAATACACTTTTATCAAAATTTGGTAACCGGGTGCACAGCTATATCGCTGCAAATTCACAAGATGCTATGGTGTTTATTAAATCGAATATCATGTGGTTTGGGTAAATATTATTTKATTAAAATATAGTACTTAACACATTTTATTTAAGTAACTTTGTGAATCGTTTTCTTCCCAGCAATGTTATTGAGAGGTACAAAACTATTGGAAATCTGAATTTACTAATTAGTCAAAACGACCAAGTGATTGTCTTACAACCACCAAATGAAACATCAAATGATTTACCATACGATCATTTCTTTAGTTGTTTTAAAGACTCTGGTAATCTAAATCTCAGTTTGTTATTTATTATTATTTGCTAATTGTGTGTATTAATTATTTTAAGATTCTGCAACCAATTTATTATCCGACATGGAACGTTCTGCCTATCGTAGTAATCGAGCTTTGGAGCCATTTTTAAATAAAGTCACCTCATTAATCAGGAATCCTAGTTCACATTTACGTTTACCATCTCTTGGACTACTATTACATTATTTACAGTTTAATAATAGTAACTTGTCTACAAACTCTGTGTTGGTACCAGCAATACTAAGTGCACTGTTGTCCGATGATGATGAAGTTTCTAGCACAATAAGGAACCATATTGATTCATTATCAATGTCTAGAGGTAAATTATTTATAACTATAATTATAATTTATTCAGTGTTTCTTTTCATATCAATTTTTGGTTGGTATTTGCTATTTGCATGTTATATCTTAGTTAAAGCTWAAACAAACATTCCTTTTCTTTTATACATTTTCTTATCTACCTACAACTCCTTTTTTATTTTATAATGATTATTGATTAAAATTAATCAATCACATTGTTTATACGGGATGACTAACCTAGTATGTTCACCATCCTCATCTTTTCATTTAATAATAATTGTATTCATTAAAATGTTTGGGATTATTAAATAAACTTAAAGGCCATATTTTTAAATTCTTGAGATTTTTTAAACTAAAATATTGTCTTGTGGCATTACAAATCTCTGTTTTCCTAA